TACAGAGGGACCTAGACAAATTGGAGGATTGGGCCAAAAGAAATCTGATGAGGTTCAATAAGGATAAGTGCAGGGTCCTGCACTTAGGACGGAAGAAACCAATGCACAGCTACAGACTAGGGACCGAATGGCTAGGCAGCAGTTCTGTGGAAAAGGACCTAGGGGTGACAGTGGACGAGAAGCTGGATATGAGTCAGCAGTGTGCCCTTGTTGCCAAGAAGGCCAATGGCATTTTGGGATGTATAAGTAGGGGCATAGCGAGCAGATCGAGGGACGTGATCGTCCCCCTCTATTCGACATTGGTGAGGCCTCATCTGGAGTACTGTGTCCAGTTTTGGGCCCCACACTACAAGAAGGGTGTGGATAAATTGGAGAGAGTCCAGCGAAGGGCAACAAAAATGATTAGGGGTCTGGAACACATGACTTATGAGGAGAGGCTGAGGGAACTGGGATTGTTTAGTCTGCAGAAGAGAAAAATGAGGGAGGATTTGATAACTGCTTTCAACTACCTGAGAGGTGGTTCCAGAGAGGATGGTTCTAGACTATTCTCAGTGGTAGAAGAGGACAGGACAAGGAGTAATCAAGTAAGGAGTCTCAAGTTGCAGTGGGGGAGGTTTAGGTTGGATATTAGGAAAAACTTTTTCACTAGGAGGGTGGTGAAACACTGGAATGCGTTACCTAGGGAGGTGGTAGAATCTCCTTCCTTAGAAGTTTTTAAGGTCAGGCTTGACAAAGCCCTAGCTGGGATGATTTAATTGGGGATTGGTCCTGCTTTGAGCAGGGGGTTGGACTAGATGACCTCCTGAGGTCCCTTCCAACCCTGATATTCTATGATTTTGTGCCTTAGCCTTTTTGATTTTGTCCCTACATGCTTGTGCTAATCCTTTGTACTCATCCTTAGCAATTCATCCATGCTTCCACTTTTTGTAGGATTCCTTTTTGATTTTCAGGTCATTAAAGGTTTCAGAGTAGCAGCCGTGTTAGTCTGTATTCGCAAAAAGAAAAGGAGTACTAGTGGCACCTTAGAGACTAACCAATTTATTTGAGCATAAGTAGGTCACGAAAGCTTATGCTCAAATAAATTGGTTAGTCTGTAAGGTGCCACTAGTACTCCTTTTCTTTTTAGGTCATTAAAGAACTCCTGATATAATCATTTTGTCCTCTGACTTTTCTTTCTATCTTTCCTTCATATTGGGATAGTTTGCTGTCATGCCTTTAATATTGTCTCTTTTGAGAAACTGCCAGCTTTGGTGAACTCCTTTTTCCCTTCTACCCATGGGACTTTACTTACCAGTCCTTAGAGTTTGCTAAAGTCTGCTTTTTGGAAGTCCTTTGTCCTTATTCTGTAGCTCTCACTCCTTCCTCTCCTTAGAATCATGAAATCTATCATTGCGATCATTTTCACCCAAATTGTCATCAGCCTTCAGAGGGGCAACCAATTCCTTCCTCTCTGTTGGTCCGAATCAAGTCTAAAATGGCTGGCCGCCTCCTTACTGCCTCTGTCTTCTGAAACAAGTTGTCCCCAACTTTTCCATCAGATATCTGGGTAGTTAGTCCTCCATTTATCATCCTTTAACAGGGAATAATCACTGTGCATTTATTTTTCCAGGCTTTGCAGCTTACTGGTAGTTTGCTTTGGGATACAGATTGTTACTGTAAAACCAGGGGGTCTTGTAGGATTTGGGGTCACTATGTTGTTCCCATCCCCACCTCCTCCTGCTTGCTAGGAGGTGTTAGGAGGGGGCTTAGAGTGAAAAGGACAAAAGTAAGTGTGTGTGTGTGTGTGTGTGTGGGAAAGGTAAAAGGGCCCTATCCCTTTCCCTTCCCATCAGCCATAGTTCAGACCGGTTGTAGGGATCACGCAGCCAGTTCTTAAATTCAGTTTCCAGGGTTAACTTTCACACTGGGTTAGGGGCTGCTGATCTGCAGGGTTTGAGGTTCAGCGTTCTGGTCCAAAGCCTAACTGCCTGAGGAAGCTCCTTCTTGTTATTCCGGTGGCAAACTGCTCTCATAAATAGCTAGGTCTCCCCCTTGTGGAGTAGGGAGAGGAAACCAGTATGGCAGTAGATTGCAATAAAATCTGCTAATTGTCCTAAGTGCTGGTGTTCCTGTAGCCAGTAGGACTGCTGTGGTTGCTTCCCTGTACGGCGAATTCTGCAACTCAGAATCATGGAATCCCTGGGGCCCTGCCCGTGGTGCCTACACTAAGCAGAAGGAATGAAAGCAAACAAGCTGCTCTACAGGTTTGGCCAGCACAACCCTCTGCAGCATCTCAGGAAGACAGCAACATCCACCTGTCCTCAGCCCTCACGTGACCAGTGGAGTGTTAGTTCTATGAAGGCACTATTACACTATGGCCCTTAACAAAAAAGGTAACTGTAACAGAGTGGTCTGGCCCTTGTGGGGCCTGGGGCCAGTCAGTCCCTGTTCCAAGACATGGCCACGTTAAGAATAGATGTTAGGGGGAGAATCAGCAGACAGCTTGGGAACGGGGGCCAAGTGCCTAGACAGATGACAGTAATGCTCAGCCGGTAAACGACTGCACTGAGCTCACTAGACTCCGGAGAGAATTGGAGGGAGACTCCCTGGAGCAGAACCTGATCCCTGATGAGGGTGAGCTAGGGAGTCAGTGACGACTACAGCATAGACCTAGGAAGGAGGGCTGTAGAGCCTCATCCCAAGGAGAAGCTGAAGGGCTGGGGGAAGCCAGCCACAGTGCCAGGAAGGAAGGCTGTGGCCACCCTGTTCCAAAGGTGGAGACCTTTGAGCCCAGGAAGGAGGGGCAGCAAATATAGGAAAAGGCCCTGGGAAGGAGAAGCCAGGGCAGCTTGTGGCTACAGAGAGCAGACAGCCCCATTATTTAGGGTTTCCAGAGCTGAGGAGTACTTGGTAAAGGGTGGGTGTGGGCTCCCCCTATACTGGATGGGGTGCAGCAACCCCTGCTGTTAAGGGGAGGAAGAAGGGACAAACCAGAGCCAGGAGTGCTGGAAGTTGACTCCAGGATGCAAAGAGTTGAAGACAGTTGTGTGCTTGACTCAGGACTGAGATGGAAGATTGGCATGTTCTTTTTGAACTTTGATTATTCTGGAAGGGGTGAACGTCTGTGGCTTTGCCCTCTGGCTGAGTTGCTTTAGCAACTGAACTGGCCTGAAAGCAGAGTCATTGAAAAACCCAGGAGGGAAACTGAGGCAGGTTGACTGCAGTGCCGCTCTGCCTGGGGACGTGCTCTGGGACTGCACCCTGCTACAATAACCGTACTGCTCTACCACTTACAAAGCCGGGGGAAAATTCTGTGCCTGCTCCAGCCCTTGGCCTGTGCTCTGAATCTGCTAAGCCCAGAGTGTATCTTTATAAAGCAATCTCTTTTCTCCTCATTCTGAATGTATGGTGTGTAGAAACAACTGCTCTCAGTAGGTCCGACTGCTGTGATCTAGGTAGAGCATTGAAGTTGAAGGTCCCAGCATGCAATGAACTGCACTAGTAGCAGAGAAAGGAATGGCCGTGGACTGTGTTATAGAAGTCTGTGAGGAACACTTGGCCACCCCGCGATGTGGAGACCTCGCGGGTGTTAAGGGGGAAATGTTCCTGACTGAAGAGAGGTGTGGGTGCAAGTGGTGTGATAGTGGCCACCAGCCCCACTCCATTGGAAGATTGGACAGCATCTCCCCTCAGAGTGCCAGCCTATCAAGAGCTATTGTTGGCTGTACATGAACGGAGCTTTCATAAGAGATGTCCAGGCTGGTTGGGAGGGGGACAGGCCCATCTCACTGTCCTTACACAGCTCAGAAGTCTGTAGATTTTAGCTACGCTAGGTTGTATGCCATCTGTGTGCTCAGTGCTGTATAGACCATGGAATTGCCCAGTCTAACAAGCTTTCTAGGATGGCTAGCAGAGAGGATGGCTAAAGTTTCCATAGAAATGCTTTTAAGTATGATTGGATGTCACCTAGGCAATATGAAAGACTTCCAGCTGACTGGTGTTTGGAGTTTTTCTTTCAAGGAAGGTGAGGCTGCATTTTAGTTATCCCCACCTGCTTTTGGAGAGTGCTTTTTCCTCCAGTGTGGAATCTGGAGAAAGGGGGAGACATTCCCATTGTGCCAGAAATGGACCTTAGCAGCTGTAAAGTTTACATGGCATCAAGGACATACACATAATTGTTCAGATACAGATATAGCTGTAAATCTACACACAACAGCTAGGTCTGTACCATCCTCTGCCTTTCATGTCTCTGACCATTTGCTGATGAATGGGTAATTAAAACAAAAGAAGTCTTTCTGGGATGAAAGCCTAGAAGCAGAGAGAACTAAACCTGGTATAAAGATCCCTCTCCTGCTAGGGGGTCAGAGTTGATGCTTTATTTTCGCTTGTTTGGGATCCCAGAGCATTTCTGACTCGTTGCTCTGCAGCTCAGTTATGTGCTTATACCATGCACGCTTGCCCTTTCTCCTTTACCTTTAGAATATGTATTTTCTGGCTACAGGGTGTGTGTGTGTGTGTGTATGTGTATGTATTACTTGCAAAAAGCCCTACACTAATGCAACATTACGTCTGAGTTTTTAATGAATTTTCTGAAGTAAATTCCAAAACAATTGTGGCTCTTCCCTTTTCCAAGCCAAACCTCATGGAAATGAGGTGTTTTCTTGAGGTAAAAGCACTGGATGAAACCATATTTGCAGTCCATTCCCAGCTTTGCTGTTGACTCACCTTGTGACTTTGTGGAAGCCACTTCCATTCTTGGTGCCTCAGTTTCTCCACCTGTGAAATGGGGATAGTTCCTGGTGGGTGGAAATGGGGAACATGAATCTGTTAATGTTCACGTAGGACATGCTGCTGAAGTGCAAAACACTTGTCAATCGGTGGTTAAAGTCAAAACACTTAAAATATCAATCATCAAAAGCGAATGCAACATTATTAGGGTTGAGATTTAAAAAAAAACAGATCAGGAACTAGGCAAATATGGGTCCCCCAGCAGCTGTTAACTATTCCACTTGTGTACCTAGGTTGTGTTACACTGCGTGATCAAGTCTTCAAAATTCCCTCCATAACCAACAACAATAGACTGGGCCATGTCCAATTAGTGCAACCTGTCCAGGTTTCTGTATGAAGCGGAGGACTGTATCTAACCAGTGAATGACCAAAATCAGGCTCGTTGGAGTGCCACAGCTCTGGAATGAAGCTGACTGCCATTAAGAGCAAGTCTGTTTCTTGGCATTTGCTTTTGCCTTGGCCATGCAGTGCTTAGCACCTGGCAGCATCAGCATTGGATTTAAGGCTTCCACGGAATCGGTAATGTTCACTTTGGGTGGGCATTGCTACAAGCTGCTATTTTTTATGTGGGAGGGAAGAATCTCCTTTAGTAGCCCCAGGGGATAAAAACAGATTTAAAATTTTTATTAAAGCTAATGTTAAAAATTATATGCTACACAGATTAAGAAATGAGTGTCTGTACATCTGGGTATAGTGCTTAGATTATCCACAAATACAAAGTTTGTTTTTAAAAGTCATAAAATACATATAGTGCATAACCAGCAATAACCCAAATTAAGGTTTAGATTAGATTTAACAATACAGTTTAGATATTAGCATCCAAGTATTTGGGGACATTACTCATGAAAAGTTAAACAGAGAGTTCGTTGTGGAATGCAAATGTAGCAATCGGTAAAGATTGTCCCTCAGTAGTTGAGAATGTAGGGTAGGTTGTCCATTTAGAAAATACAGTCCATCAGGGAAGTATTTCAGTTACTTTCCCAACTGCGCTTCTCATCAGCACTCCAGCTTATCCGTCCTGATATTGCTGATGGCTGGTGATGTGTTCTCGTACTACACAGAACGCTAGTTCTGTGGTGCCTTCTCTGTAGCTGCAGAGCGTTCATGGATGGGGATGTTTGAGGCAGCGTATTACAGTGAATATGTAAAGACCCAGAATATGGAACATCCTTTAGTGCTGTGATAACTTGTGTGCTAGAGGGTTATTTTAGTGATCCTGTTGGTCGTCTATATTGTTATGGGGGTGAGTTATGGGAGTTTAGGTTTCTTAGAGCACCAAGACTGTGAGACTAGCAGAGGGGCTGCTGATCTAGATTGCTGTGGATTATACAAGATTTAGTGAATGTTATGCTGCCTGAGGAAAGACCAGGCAAAGCTTAACCTGTGCCTGGTTTGTCTGATTTAGTGGCTTATTTTGGATTCCATACTCCAGTTTACTGATTTCTTCTTTCTCCCTCTTCTTCCCCTCCTATGCCCACCCACACAGCACAAGAACTGGCAGAGCACTGGGAAAGGGGATTCCTGCTTGTTGATTTTTTTCAGAAATGTTCACCCACACTTTCTCACCGCTCTCCAAACAGTTTGCTTGCTGCAGCTGTTCCCTCACTGCTCATTGAGAGAGAATTTAGAACAATGGCTCCCTAACTTCCCTCCTGTGTTTTGCCAGCACTTGCCCAGAGATTTAGGCCTCAGATCAACACTCACTTTATGCTGTCAGGGCCATCACTGTTATCCTCTGGAACTTTTGACAGCTCATCTGCTTTCTGTGAACTATTCACCAAGGGACTGGAATGCTCTGATGTATCTCCTTCAAGAGGCTTATGCCAAAACAGAAGTGCCCCTGCCTTGCTGCTGTTGCTGTCTCAGTATGAGGCCTAACGATGATTCTTTAGCTCTGCCTGCAGAGGAGACATTTTAAAGATAGCACAGGTAAGAGAAAATTTGTTCCGGGGGAGGGGATTAAAAACAGGGGCATATGTGTGAGGGGAGGGAAAGCAAATGTAAACTGGGAACTCAAGCAGAGAACTACTTGGCCAGCAGCCAGACCATCTTGTGAGATCTGAAGAGAGCACAGCCCAAGCTAATCTGGTTCAGTATTTGGGTGGGATATCTTCAGTGAAAACCTTGTACAGTAGGGAGTGGTGCAGATAATTCAGTAGATGGCACTCTTCTCTGAGCTAATGCTGAGTCTAACCATTAAAGATTTTTCAGTACTTTTATTAAACAAAGAGAGCGAGGGAGAGCTGGAATGCTAGTTTTGGTATCCTGGTCAAATTTTAACTTGCCCCACTGGCATTATCTCTACATTTTGGTTGGGTATCAGATTCTTTGCTTCCTGTCTTAACCTTTTGTGTAATTTTGCTGTTCAGCTGTTAATCAGCTGTTGCATTCCACTCCAGAGGTGGCTGCCTGTCAATGGTGGATGGATGTAGGGAGTGTGCACTGATGATCAGTTCAAGTTTATAAAAGGGTTTGGGATATAAGGCACTGTAGAAATTGATGATCGATCAATGCAGTAAGTAATGGGATGTGTTCCTAGTGAATGGACTACAGCTGAATTAGAAAACCTGTGATCTAGAAACAGCATATTATAGAAGGGGAATACAAATGATGCTTACTCTGTAATATGGTAACACCCTGGTAAATGGAAAGATCTGATGACTATATTCCTATAATGTTTCTTTAAACAAAAGCAACTGTTGTAGTGGTTTTGTTTCTTATATTTACATGGCAAGGGTTTGAAAACTTGTTAAAACTTAATAAATAAATAAAAAGAAAACCTTTGTGATCTGTTTTGAGTGGGAGGGGATGAGGGGAATTGTGAGGGAGGTGTGATTCTGGTAACTTTACAAGGGGTTCTTCTGGGACACATTATCTAGGCAGCCTGTTCATGTTCCTGATCCTTCTTATACTCAGCAACAACAAAAGCTTTCAATCTGAGGGCTCTGTTGATCTCATTAACTTTGAAAAATGTTAACTATTAAGTAGGGCTCATTGCTTAGTGGCCAGTCTGATCCCTTTGTTTTGATCGCTCTTGTGACCTGTCACATGCTTGGAGCAATGTTGTCTACCTAGCTATCAAGATTTACTGATATGAAAGAGCAAGGAATGAGTGAAAATCCATGGAATTCCATCCTGATTCTGAGGCGACTGACAGTGTAACATTGTTAGTCCAACCTGTGTTGCGAGCATTAGGATACGCAAAGCCAGCCTAGTAGGGGGATGCATGTTTCTGTGCTGAGAGCAACTAACCTGCTACAAGCTACTTAGTAGCAGAATGAATCTTGAACCTAATTCTAACTGGGATTCTCTGGTTGACTGAAGAGATTAGCCAGCTTCCAAAGAGAGCCTTCCTCTTTGGATGCTAAAACTTCCTGTAATTAATACCCTGCAGCCCTCTCCTGCTATGGCTGGACTGTTGGGGAACAGTCTGTGGTGATTGTTTTAGCCTCAGTCAGGCTAATGTAGTCTCCTGGTCAGGATCTCTTGATGAAATTCTAGCAGCTTTTACCTGACCTGTCTGGTTGCTCCATTGTCTTGAGCATCAGTCCCACTACTTGAGGCAGCTAGAGTCTATGACTGATGATGATATATCTGCAAGGCAGGGGGAGGGGACTTTCTGGCTCTCTTGCAGATGGGAAAGAGTTCATTTTCTGTGATCTTAGTAGAGTGAAACTGTTACACACCAGAGTGTTATGTAACGAGATCCGTCTCATTGGACTCAAATAAAAGATTCAGTCCAAAACAGAGTGAAACTGGTGGATTAACAGTAGTAACTAAATGCATGGGACAGAGCAGCAGTGGTAGCTTTCATTGGTATATCTTGAGTTCTGGGCTTTGCGGGGTACTGTAGCCCATTGGTGTCTGGCTGCCCCAGGAACGCTTCTCTAGTGAAGCGTTGTCTTGAGAAAACTGGATTGTGATCAACATAGACGCTTGAGCTGGAGCCCCCTTGGTGTGAGAGAGGGAAACTACTAGCAGGGAACATTTCCTGGAAGTACCCCTTGACTCTGGAACTCTTTTGCAGTCCTCCCTCTTACCTGCCCCTTCTGAATTTGCTGGGCTTTAGAGTGTACTGCCAAGACTGTTCTCTTATTACTGGAGCTGGCAGCTGCATTGTCAGGAGCGTTGCTGATAGACCTTCTCATGGCTCAGATGTGCTATAAACACAAAGTTAATACAGTTCTGTGGAGCCTGTGCAGTAGATGCAGGGAGCAGTTCCTCTTCCGGTTGTCTGTTCTCATTCCATTCCTGATGAGGGCAAGGATGCTGATTCCTCCTACCCCTTCCCAGGCCCCAAATCATACATGACAATCCTTCTGGTTGAGGAGAGGACGACTGTGCAGTGAAGCTAATTAGCACTTCCCTATGCCCAGAGCAAGCATTAGCTGCAGGATACTTCACAGCATCATCATGTTGTGTCACTTGGGCAGATAGGAGTGGGTTCCGGAGGAGGAAGGGAGCACCTGGAGTGGAAATGCAGCTAATGCTGGAAGCCATGCATGGGGACCTCATCACTTGTGAATTAGAACTTGGAGAATGGAGGCAGTTAGGATGATTGGGGTAGGAAGCAAAGTATGTTCCTTTCAGAGCCCTGGGCTCCCTCTGCCTAAAGGGGAAGATGTGCACCCCCACCCCCTTGTGTGTGGGCGGGGGAGGGGAGGGAGACGAGAACTATTCCCCAGCAGTTTGTACAAATAGAATGAATTGCTCTGTTACCTTGAAATCCTCTGTCCCTCTGAGTGTTGGGTGACCATGCCCACTGCTGAATCTGATCACTGGGAGACTGTCTTGGAACAATGACAGCCCCATATGATCCTTCCCAGTGTGTTTGCATCTCTCAGTGGACTCTGAAATGGGATCAGCATCATTGCAGACAGCAGCCCAGAAGGGGGGAGGGATTTAATTCTTGAGGAGCATTGCCTGCTGATGAGAGATAGCGAGGACAGATAAAAGGGACTGGGAGATTAAGTTTCCTATTGCAATACAAGTCTAATAGAGTGGCCAGAGACCTGGCTCTTAGCCACCTCCTTCTATGGCTTCAGGCCAAAGCTGTGATGCTCTGGGTCTCACACACTTGGCTGCAGTATCAGGGCTGCACCCGAGATAGGATTGCTGACAGCTTGGTGAGTATGGGGCAGAATCAGTGCATGCTGTGTGCCCAATTCTGGCTGTTATCTGCATGCCTTTCAGCAGTCCATCCTCCCCTCCCTCAGAACAAACAGCCCCATGTGTCAGCTGGCGTTTCCATTCCACTCTGAACTGAGGCCTGTTTCAGAGTCGCTCCTCTGAATCCTCCCCTCTGATTTTGGAGCGCAAAGGAACAACCTAGATATTATGCCTCCAGGGCCCCAGCCATATTGCTGGTGAAGGATTATGAAAGTCCACTTGCTCCCCCAGGGCCGCTGTGGCAATTACTAACTTCTTAGAGTGAGAGCGGTTACACACACCACACTGTATAGGAATAAAATCAAGGGAAGAGGTGCAACTCTGCTGTCGTTCCTGGAGTCATTCTGCCAAAAGCCACTGCTGTACTGAGGGACGCATCCGGCCATTTAACAATCCTGCTCCTTGTTTGGTGGCACTGGAGTTCCTGGTCTCCTTGGAATTCCCTGCTCCATGAGGGGATAATTGGAAAGCCCTTCCCTTTCCAGGACACAGTGGAGGCAATGAGCCGGTTGTACTGTGAAATCCTGCCACGGGGAAGCTTCCTGAAGCTGCAGACTCCAGCCCTGGTGCATGGCTGTATTTGGGCGCACATGCATGTGAGTCCATATGTGATGCTGATAGGTGACTGACGCCAAGTTTCCTTTCTCGTGTTTCAGAAGCCATTCAGATGCTGCCAGATGCCACCAGGGGAGAGCTGACTTGGAGGCAGGTGGACCGGGAGATGTTTGGACGGGACGTCGCTTTGGATCTGTGAGTCCTTGTTTTGAGGGACAGTTACTTGGGGGATGATGAGAATGTCTCTGGAAGTTGTTTCAGACTGTGGAGTGGGTTAGGAATTCAAGGTGGGGTTGTCCTCCTCCCACCCCGGGGGTCAGGCAAATGGAGTGAGAATGAGGAATGGCAGAGGTGCTGGATACCAGGGAAGGGAGGAGGATAGTCACAGTGAGACTGAGGAATTGCCAGCTGAGAGTTGGCCAGACCTTTAGCTTGAGCCTTCTGAACGTCCCTGCAGTGGAGACCTCAGCAAGGACTCTCTTAGGCCATTCATAGCAGCTGTACCAGGTGAGACCAGAGGGAGCCTTCCTATGCCAAACTGGTGGTAGTCATTTGGAGCTGTCATCTGCCAGCAGTCAGTGCCACAGCTGACCCAACAGGAGCTGCTCTGAGCCCATCCCTGCTTGTTTCAGAGTAACAGCCGTGTTAGTCTGTATTCGCAAAAAGAAAAGGAGGACTTGTGGCACCTTAGACACTAACCAATTTATTTGAGCATAAGCTTTCGTGAGCTACGGCTCACTTCATCGGATGCATACTGTGGAAAATACAGAAGATGTTTTTATACACACAAACCATGAAAAAATGGGTGTTTATCACAACAAAAGGTTTTCTCTCCCCCCACCCTACTCTCCTGCTGGTAATAGCTTATCTAAAGTGATCACTCTCCTTACAATGTGTATGATAATCAAGGTGGGCCATTTCCAGCACAAATCCAGAGTTTAACAAGAACTTCTGTAGCTCACGAAAGCTTATGCTCAAATAAATTGGTTAGTCTCTAAGGTGTCACAAGTACTCCTTTTCTTTTTGCATCCCTGCTTGGAGTCTCCTATCTGTGGCCGAGTAGGTACGAGCTGTACTGAGCTGGTCTCTCTCTCTCTGTCTTGTAGCTGTGCTGGGGCCCTGGGGAGGGGTAGCTATGCCATTGTGAAGCTGTTTTTCCTGTACTAGTTGGGGCCCAAGGACAGCACTGTAGTAGGGAACAGGGCCAGCCAGCTTGTTGGGGCCAGGCCAATGCCAGGGGAATCTCTTAAACTTGTTTCAGCAGAGCTCTGCATAGTCGCTGCTGCCTGCCTGTTCCGTTCGCCTTGTGTATGACTCTCCCTCTGCATGTGTACAAACGCTCCAGTCCCCACCTCCTCGGGCTGGGTGCCATGGAGAGAGAAAGGTCTGCAGCAGAGGTGTATGGGGAAGGGAGGGCCCCATGGAATTTCTGTAGTGCCTGGGGCGGTGCAAGGAAATGACTGTCTGGCTCCTATCACCAGAGTATCTCAATATGTTTTGTTGTGATGGTTGCATAACCTGGGCTCTGGCCTTCAGAGCAGGCGGGTGTCAGTCTCCTTATGTTTCTACTGTGTGTGTTTGTCTGGGAGCACATCACCTCAGAGACCCCTGTAGAACAGAGAGGGCTTTGGAGCTGTGGTGACTGTTGCCAGGAGCCAGAGAACAGCATCTCATGTGTCTAAATTGGAGTAGCTTGCTCTTCTTTCTTATATAGAGGCCATGGAGCCGTTCCAGTATGCAATACCCCCTCTTGATCTGAATAAGAATCTGTTAGGTGCCACCAATGCAACCCATAATGCTGGATACCTGCATTAGCTAAATGTTTCTGCTAAAATGCTCAGCAGGGAAATAGTTAATATTGCCAAATCCAGCATTGTGCGAGTTCAGTGCTAACTTCCCACTGAGGTGAATGGGAAAATGTGTCATGCTCTTAAGGGCCCCATTCCTGCTAGTGGCTTGCTTTTGCCATCACTGGAAGCAGGAGTGGGCTTTTAGAGCCATTGTTTTGGCTCTGGGAAAGTGCCGCACCAGGGTAACACTGGGAAGTTTTCTACCCACTCCAAAGGATTAGAAACGTGCCTTCAACGTCAGAGCGTAGATTCTGCTAGACTGCTTTTGCGGCATCTCAGGGGACATGGGGCTTCCCACCTGTCAAGGAGATTCTGGGCTGTGTGGGGAGAAGGGCCTGCCACTTCAGAAACTTATATATGCTTTATTTTAAAACAGGGTTGTGACTGGGCAGTAACAAGGGCTCTCAAAGCCTGGGGACTGGGGAGCAAGGAGTGCCCAGCTTCCTCTGGCTGTCCCTGCTCTGTTTGCTGAGTATGAGCCTTGAAGCAGAAGTTCCCATGGGGCTCACAGATGGGGACCAGTTCTCTCCCCTATCACATGGTCCCCCACAGACACATGAGAGCAGAGCATTAGGAGTGCTGCAGCCAGGCACAGGCACCCATTTGTTTGGGTGGGCTGGGGCATGCAAGTGGTCTCTGGGCGGGGGTTGTTAAATTCTTTGTGTTCTCACCTGTAGGGCATCTGAGTGAGTGTCCCCCTACATGAGACTTCAACTCTGAGCGCAGGCTGGTAAGTGCTCCAGCTGTCATGGGGTACAAAGATTGCTGTGGGGTAACATCTGCACTAACACATGTCCATGCTTCCTAGATGTGGAAGGAGGTAACAAGAACACCCCTCTCGGTCACCTAGCTGCTGCGTGGCTAACATGAGCTGCCATTCAGTCAGGACTTAGCACCTCTCTCTGAGGAGAAGGAATGCCTTTCCAGCAAGGCAGGTTTATCACCCAGCCGATGTGCCTCAGCTCCTGCAATGAGCAGCAGAAGGAACAGGCCCCAGTGGTTACCTCCCAGCAGCGTTGGTGTTTGTCTTGCAGAGTAGCACCAAGAGGCTCTAGTCAGGACTGGGGCTCGTTCTGCTGGGTGCTGTGCTTACGCTCTAGAACGGGGTGGGCAAAATATGGCCCATGGGCTGGATCAGGCCCATCTAACACTTCTGTCCTCACGATCTCCAGGCTGCTAAAAATCCCACAGCGCAGCGGGGCACTCAGGCAGGCTGTCTGCCTGCCATGGCCCCACCTGCTCCCAGAAGCAGTTGGCTGCTGCTGGTATGTCTCTGCATGCCCCCAGCAGAGGGGGAGGCAGCTCTGCATGCTGCCCTCACCCCCAGCATCATCTTCACAGCTCCCATTGGCTGGAAACTGGCCAATGGGAGCTGCGGGGGCGGTGCTTGTGGGCGTGGGCAGCACATGGAGACCCGCTGCCCTCTTAAGGGGCATGCAGAGATGTGAGGGCCGTTTCCGGGAGTGGTGGGGGCCACGGCATGCAGGCAGCCTGCCTGAGCCCTGTTGTGCTGCCGGCTGGGAGCCGCCTGTGGTAAGCACCTCCCAGCCAGAGCCTGCACATCACGCCCCCTCCCGCACCCCTGCCCCAGGTCAAACCTGCTCCCGCACCCAAACTCCCTCCCAGACCCTGCACCCCAAGATGTTGCACTAGCCCGGAACTTCCAGACCCCACACCTCTTGCTGCACCCTCAGTTTTTGCACGAATTATTTTATTACATGGCACTGCAGTGGAGGGGTAGAATTTCAAAATTTCATTAATATAGTAGAAATATGCGGCCTTTGATGACTTACCAAAATTTGTGGAGTGGGCCCCCTGAGAAAATTATTGCCCACCCCTGTTCTGCAAAGACAAGTGATGCCCAGGTGGTGAGGGAGAGGGATACAGAGTGTGTGTTTCTACACATTCCATACCTTAGACTTGCTCTTCAGAGCTATTAGAAATTGCCTCATCTGTCCCCATCAACCTGCCCTTTCCCAGGGCATCGCAGCAAAGGTGAGCTCCAAGGATTTGATAGAAGAAGGGGTAGTGGCCTTACAAATCAGTTCAAGGAGGGCATTCCACGCATCTGAGGGGAACTTCTGTGTTTGGCAAAGCAAAGAGTGACACAACAGGAGATGAGTGTTGTTTATATAATGGCTAGGAAGCTCAACGGGGACCAGGGCTCCATTGTGCTAGGCACTGTACAGGCAAGGAATATGCACAGTCCTTACCCCAGAGAGTGGGAGTCTAGGTGTCAGACAGGACACAACAGAGCACTAGTGGGGACCTACAAATGAAGAGAATGGTTGTGCACTGTGTGTTCTGGGGGCTGCAGGCTAGGAACTGTGTTTTCAGGCTGGGAGGGGCACTGTGAGCATTGCAGAGATGATTAGGAACAGGAAGTCTTCGAGCCATTGAATTAACGGTCCCTGCTCCCCCAATGGGAGGGGGAATAATGCTCTGAAAGGAGCCAGGCTGGGAGAGCTTCTGCCCCGGTAGAGCAGCTCCTGTGCACAAGGGAGAGAATTTAGTCTGAATTCAGGGGAGCTGGGGATGCCCCACAAGTGCTGAGGGAAGGGGTGGTGCCCGGGCACAGAGCGGCGTTGGATTATCAGCATTGGGAGACTAAGGCAAGGAGAAGGACAGCCGATGAGGGTGGGAAGAGGGAGGCTGTTCTGAGCATAGGGGTAGCTGTGTTACCTACCCCAGCACCCGAAGGGAGGACTGATATGCCTTTGGCATTGGAAACATCAGCAGGCACCTTCATTACTGGGTGGCCTGCGGCATGCCTCACTCCATGTCTTGTGCTTACTGAAATGGTGCAAACTCTGGATGGCAGCAAGAGCTTTCCTGAGTGCTGCCCTCTGCTGCAATTGCCTCTGAATGGCTGGAAGCAGAAGCCCCCTCCATGTCCACAGAGAGCCGTTGCAGCTCTGCTGTCTCTGCCCCATTTCAGACCCTGCACCACTTCTCCTGAAGCTTGGGAGTCTGAGCCTGCCACAGGTCGGAGGGGTGGGTGGTGACTGATCTGTCCTTCCTCATAGTGCTACTACTGAACATGGCATAATCCAGCCTCTTGCCTGAAGGCTGGGTGGCATCACGCACCCCAGCTGCCATCTTGTGCCTTGATGGTGCCTTGTATTTGTTTTCTCTCCCCTGAGTCGCAGCTCCCCAAATCCCAAGAAAGTCCCTCTCAAGACACCCAGGAACAAGCTGGCTTTAACTAGTGCAAGCCAAGGACTTCTTGGCTCTGGCCGCTCATTTAGTGACTGTAGCCCCTGTTGGCAGTGACAGTGCGAGATCAATAGCTCCTGCCCTGACCGTCGTTGCTGCCTGTAAGGCTTGCAGTTTCCATATTAGAAAAGGCGTTTCCTAAAGAGCCCAATCAATATGCTGCTCTGAGGCCTGTTCTCGTTTACTATATATAATCTGGACACACGCTGTACGTCAGCGTGCGCACGCGGCCGGAGGGGAGGATGTGCCAACTCTCTGTTTGCGCTGGCTGGGAGAAGGACACAGCTGAATGCTTCTCTGTCCCCCTTCCCTGCCGCGGCTGCTGTTCCAGGATCCAGGGCTGCCAGCTCCTCCTACTCTCTCAGCACTTTGGATGGGAAGCTGCTGGGGAGCATAGGGTATTTGATCTCCTGCTGCTGGGAAGCCCTCGGGGCTGGCTGGGGCACTGGTGACCCTCTTCTCTCTGCCCTTTCTGCTTTTGGCAGGTGACCAGTTGTCGCACCCAAGCAGGAGGGAGGATGACGAGCACAGCTCCATCCAAGAAGCCTTACCGCAAGGCACCACCGCAGCACCGCGAGATCCGCCATGATCTGCCCATCCTTCGAGACGACCAAGATGGCGTGATTTTGGCTGAGCAGAGTCAGGTAACGGATAACCGGGCGGCTAAGGGCCTGGCGCCGTTACGCCAGCAGGCGGGGTTTAGTTACGCCGAGGCAGGCCAGCTCAAACAGGTGGATGGGTTTGAGGTGCGCAACCTTAACTTTTCCTCCTCCTGGTCCCTGGAGTCAAGCAGTGACAAGGAGGTAGCAGGGTGCCGAGCGGAGCTGAAGCTGAAGAGCCGGACTCTGTCACCTGTGCTGCCGCACAGTGGGAAGGCAGGGAGGCGGAGCGGGAAGCACTGCCGGCACCCCAGCCAGGGGTGTCTCAGTAAGTTCATGAGCCGCAGTGTGGAGACGGTTGTGGTGTCTGGAGACGAAGGCCGGAGGCCGACCTGCTCCTTCAAGAGCAGGAGCCTGGAACGCTCCCTTATGTTCAAAGAGCCTGCCGAGGTCCTAGCTCCCAGGAAGTTCCAGGTCTCTGCCACCCATCTGCCTCTCAAAGGGATCCTGAAGCAGACGGGCATGCTGGAAGTGCGCCCCGAGAGCCTGCGCAAGTCCCGCTCAGTGGAGACGCTGGCCCATGGCCGCAGCTCGCGCAAGTACAGCGACCCTCAGCTGTGCTTCAGCCCGAGGGAAAGACGCTCGCTGGAGCGCAGCAGCAGCACTGCCGATGCCATCAAGCGCCAGGAGAAAGTCACTGAGGAGAAGCTGCAGTTCTCCAAGTTCCTGGATGAGATCACCCACCGTGTGCTGAGCCCTGTCCACCTGCAATCCCTGGGGGAGGCCAGAGCAGGAGGGGGAGGCCAGGACTCTCCTTCCTCACTGAGAGGCTCCACTCCAGAAGGTCAGAAGGAAAGCCAGCCTGAGGGGGCCAAGCGAGTAGCTGAGAAGAGCCACCGCCTGAGCAGGAGAAAGGCAGATAAGAAGCGTGAGGGTCTGGAAATGGCTTCCTGCCGGAGGAAGCCCCCTGAGGAGGCTGAGAGGGCCCCCAGGCTGAGGAGAAAGCCCATCCTGGTGAGGAAGGACAGCAAGGAGAAGTTCCTCTCCCTGGAGAGGCGGGTAGTGGATCTGTGCCAGTATGAACTGCAGCAGCTGGCAGAGCTGGGTTTGGCAGGGGTGTCCTCTGAGCAGCAGCAGCAACTGCTGCCTTCATGGAAAACCAGTCAGGAGGGAGGAAGGGACAGAGAGAGGGACCGAAGGAAGCACCAATTGCGGCAAGTGCAGCCTCAGCATCTTGGCACCAAACCTGGCCAGAAGCCCATGACAGAGCCAGGCTACCTAGAGAGTGCATCCTTCTCCCCTCCGACACACCGGAGCCAGGAGGAGGGCACTGCCTCACCTAGAACCTCCCCTTCCTTCAGCCTAGCACTAAACAAGGTAGGTGCCAGTGTCCTGGAGCCCAGGCCCCTCACCCAGGATGGGGACAGAGGTCTCCAAAAGGCCATGGCCACCCCCTTCGGCTCCCAGAGGTGCCCTTAGCGCTGATGTGGGGAGTGAGGGGCAGGGCATTTGTGTCTGAACTCTCATCTCATCCATTCAGATGTTGATCTATGGAATGTGGAGCCTCCATTGCCTCAGGGAGGCCTGGCCAAGCAACTTTGACCTCCCAAGTGGTGTGAGGGGCTCTCTGAGGCTCACTTAGGGTACAGTCTTCATCCCAGCCCCCCTTACACCAACCCCCATTGTTCCCCACTGGGAGGCTCCTCCTGAACTGGCTGTTAGGGGTGCCCAAGAGCAAAATGCTAAGACCTCAGAGGGGACAGAGCATCACCCTTGTGACTCCCCAGACCTAGCCCTTCTGTGCTCCACACACATATGTGGTGCTAATGCCTCTTGAACCTCCAGCCTCCCTGCTGGCCTGTTTGGCTGCAGATCCTGCTCCTTGTTTGTGTTGCTCCCAGCTGTGACCCAGGTGGAGTGCCTCTGTTCAAAGGGGAGAAGGGAACAGCTGCCCCTTGGAGTTGTTAGCCATAAAAGCAGCAGCTGGTGCCTCTTTCCCCACTGAAGGGGCTTGTCTGCCTTCCAGGGTTTAGAATCTGCCCAGCAGACTGCAGGATACCAGTGTGCAGAGCTGGACACAGCGGGATGGTCTAGTGCCCTATGCGGGCCTTTGAATCCTCCTAATGCTTTAATGGTGGATACCCTGGTAAATCAGACCCATATTTATGTGAGAAGTCCCTTGTCTATTGAGGTAGAGTCCTTGTCTGGAAGAGCTGCCAACCCCTCCCCTTCCATCCCCCCAGCGGGCTCCTGGGACATTGACTCATTTAAACAGGAATCACCCGTCTCCTGGCCTGATTCTTGTGCACCTGATTGCCTGGTATCAGCTGGAGTCCTCAGAGGTGAGACAGTTGCAGGGTGGTGATGCTGCGTATGGTATGAGTTAATAAAGTGCACTTGGGACTGGGACAGTATCATGCTGTATACAGTGCAGGCTGCTGCAGTGCATTTAGTGTCGGGGACACAGCATGTCTAGTGCAGCTAGAGCTATGGGGCCACCATGTGCAGCATGGGCCAGTGCAGTGCACTCTAGGTTGTTGGGAGCGAGAAATGGCCCCACTGTGCATTAGGGTCATGATTGGGCTGGCTTCTATACCATGTTGTTGCTAGCACTGAATCTGTTCCAAGGAAATCTCTGTGGCAGGGTCCCATGTGCGGACCTTGTACGTCTGTTAATATGCACCTTTTGAAGCGCAGTGTCATCTTTGGGGACCTGTGTGCTTTGCTTAGCAAAGGCTCCAGGGCTCCATCCAGTATGTTCCAAAGCTGCTGTTTCAAGTCATTGAAAACAACCTGGGCTTTCCAAAGAGAAACCTCCAGCTTCCAGGGTTAGCCTCCTCTTCCCAGAAAGGGCCATCCTTGCTAGCACGAACTGTCTCTGGAGATGGAATTCTCCTCCCAGCCACAAGTGAGGCATGTTGAGAGGCAGCTTCTGTTACCTGGTCTAGCACATCAAATGCACAGAGTGGGGAGGCTAAGCTGCTCATACCCACTCCCTTGTCCCTGCCTATGTGCCGGAGCTCTGGTGTTATGGGGGTGCCTGCTGGAGAGGCGCAGGTGACTTGCTCTCAGCACTGTAGGCCCTTCTGTTGGGCTGCTTGGCCTTTAGCATGTTGCCTGTTATTTTTGTGTCCAGGTTCACCCAGGAGCCTGGTTCCAGTAACCAGCTTGAGCTGAGCACAGAGGAACCCTCATCTGGGCTTACCTGGGTGAAGCAAATGGAAAAGGTGCTTCCCAGCTCCTCAGCCACTTAGAGCAGTTCTTTTATTATCTACAGGGGTGTTACCACCACAGTGAAGGGATCATAGGTTTGTGTATGCAGGTCCACGAGACTCCCATCCTAACCACCCAGACATTGTGGGGCTGCTGAATATTGAGGCAGCAGCTGTGGGGTGATGACTGCGGGGTCTCTGAACTTGTAGCACAGGGGGAAGGAAGTTGCAGGCTCTCTGTGAAGGTCTCTGGTTTAACCCAGACTACTGCTGACTCTGAAATAAACCATGTGGTCTCTCTTGATATTGACTAGTTTGAGAAGCAGTGCATGGAGAGTGCTAGCTATGCATGACATGGCCTGCCCAGAGCTGTCAGGGAGGTGGGAGGAGTTCACTTCTCAAAATCTTGTCCTTTGGTACTTGCTTGAATCTGACACCTATTTTGAGAGGTTCTTACAGCTGTTTTCTTCTCACCACAGGAGCCCTTGACGGATGCAGAAAGGATGAAGTAAGTGTCCTGTTCCCTACTCATGCTCCAATCTCACTGCAGCTGTGTGTGTGCTGATTCCCACCTCCCGTTGTCCAGCTTCCTTTGAATCTGCATGGTGGGTTTCCCTTCTGTTGAGAAGCTAGGCCCATTTGGAGAGACTGGGGCAGGTGTCTCTCTGTTCTGCTCCCACTTGCCAAGTTTTGCCGTGGTTTTCTGCATTCCCTGAAAGGACAGTTTAGAGCTCTGTGCAGATGGGATGCCTTTAGGAGACCCATCTCAGGGTCCCTTGAATGCTGTTACAGTTTGAGGTGGTGGGGCAAACACTCCTGATTCTAAACATCTATTCTTCACCATCAAAGGGAGAAAAACTCAAAGCGCTACCATTTTGGTAAAAAGAAGAGGAGCACTTGTGGCACCTTAGAGACTAACAAATTTAATGGTCATAAGCTTTCATGAGCTACAGCTTATGTTGGTCTCTAAGGTGCCACAAATATACCATTTTGGTGTGACTCACTGTAGTGTGTGAGCTCCCCCTGGTGACTGTGAATGAAAACTTTTTGCACAGACAGAATCTTAGCAGGACGCAGCTCTGAAGATCTCAGTCCCTTCAAAATCCCAAGTGAAGAACAAACTGACGCAGCTAGAGAGAGGCTGTATTTTCTAGGTTTTTCTGAACAGTTGAGCACAGTGAAAGCGCACATGCAGGAGTGAGTCTCTTTGTTTGAGGGGAACACAGCACTTAGTGTTATAATGGGGCCTGTTGGAGGCTGCCACAGCATCTCCCCATAACGCGTATGCTGCCCATGCTTCCCTCCGCAGCTCGAGCTCCCCACTTGCTGGCCCAGCAATTGCAGGGACTCCTGCTTTACTGCATGTTTAGGGTTAGGGCTTTGGTTGGGGCTGTGGATTTGTGATGCCTCTTTCACCTCCAACTCCTGCAGTATGGGCTGGGATAAATTATTGAGTGGGTTTCATTTTCCAGGGAGGGACACCTAAGCTGTGCAGCCCATTTGGCTAGTGGACTTTATCCAAATGCTGCAACCTGAGCGGGAGCTGGTGTCATGGATAGCAGGGCTGCTTATGCTTCTCTGCCCCTGGTTCCAAGAATAGAGAGCAACCTGTGTTGTCAGGAAGCAAGGGCTTGAATTTCTCATCTTCTCAGCTGAGCAGAGACGTATGCCTCTTGCTGCATTTGACCCTCCTGTCAGTTTAGTTTATTGCTACAGGCCCTGACTGCTCATAAAAAAACAAAACCCACGGCATGAGCAACAGCAACCTAAGGCAGGAGGGGCTCTGCAACTGCCCCCAAACTCTGTCCATGCATCTCACTTCTGTCCTCTTCAGCGTCCCCCACTAGTCCAGTTCTGCTCCCCCCAGCTCGGCCAATGCCCCATATTCTTGACCTGCAGAGCCTCCTCCCAAAGTCCTTGTCCTGGGGCTTAGAACAATGGTTGAGAGTCCAGATGAACAACTGAGTCCTCCGGGGGCAGTGCATGCACACAGCCATCTTTCAGACACCATCGGACTCCTCATGGCGTCCCGTTGTGGGTGTGAGAGGAGGGATGAGATCTGAGCCTAAAGAATCACTTCCATTCACAGGGGAGGTCTGCGTGTGAAATGCCCACATGCTCCCCAACAGCTAAGCTGGAAAGGGGACGGGGTCCATTAGCACCTGTTTGGATGGTGCCACCACAACCACCTGGGAGCATCATCAGTGTCTATATGGGGTCTCTGCTTCTCAGGGCCCTGAAGTGAGCTTAGACGCTGGGTGTCTGCACTGAGGACTGCAGCCCCCATCGCTTACTGAATGGTGCATTGTTGCTCTGTGTGCCTCAGGCTGCTGCAGCATGAGAACGAGGAGTTGCGCCGGCGGCTGGCCTATGTCACTAACAAGATGGAGGCGATGGAGAGGGAACTGGAGTCCGGCCAGGACTACCTGGAGCTGGAACTGGGCCAGAACCGCGAAGAGCTGGAGAAATTCAAGGACAAATTCCGTAGGTATGGCAAACACCAGAGGAGAGGATGTGGCTGTGGGGAGACAGGGTACCTCTGCCTAGGGACTCGCTTGGCTGTCCAGAGGGGGCTGAGCCTGTGTTGTGTTAACCTGAGGCATGTGGTATGGGGAGATTAGGAGAGTTACAGATAAAGCTCAGCACACATTGCAACCACCTCTGGGGAGGAGCACAGCAATGCTACCCAGCAGTTTAAGGCAGGAAATGGAGAATTCTTTATCGGTTTGAATAGTACAAAGGCAGAATGAAATTGTCTGAGCTGGAATTTAGCCAGGATTTGGGGGTTAATACCCTGACAAATGCAAAGGGAAATCAGTGGCTATAGTTGGCTGGGTTCTCTTTTATGTCTTACCTGAAAGGCAGCACCTTAGTTAGAACAGCACTCCCTACCACCACATTTGAGTACTATAGAGTGCCCACACCACTTCCTGCAACAGCCTGTTTTTTCCTTGGAGTGTCCCGTCCAAATACTGACCCACTCTAGCCTGAGAAGTGAAGGGATTACAGCCTCCAAGAGAGAGAATCCGGGCAAAGAGTTAACATGTCGGTGTGCTCTGTAGCAAGTAGTCTTTCCTGTTGTGTGAGGAGCGGTTCTCACATTCCAGGCTATCAAGAGAACTTGAGTTGATGGCCTGGATTCCTTTTCACTTGGACATTCGTGCCTCTGTTTAGGTTACAGAACAGCTACACTGCTTCACAGAGAACCAATCAGGACCTGGAGGAGAAGCTGCATACCCTGGTAACTGACCTGCTGAGCCTCTGGGGAGAGGAAGTGGGGGAATCTGGTGTGTTGGGACAGAGGGAAGGGACCCTGGCTTTCAGGCCAGGCATTACAGCAGCTCATGTGGGAGGTTCTGGTCATGATCCTTCCCAGGCCTAGCCTGTTGTCCTGAACTGGGTACTTTGCTGAGCCCCCACTTTTATCATGCACCAGAGCTTGGTTTCCCCACAATGTAATTGTCATGTTGCATCAACCTCTTTGAAAGGTGCCAGGGATGTGTTGCTCCCTGCAGACTCCAGGGGATCACTCCCAGGGGACTGGGGCTGTTGGAGCGGAGCCAGCATGTGTGTGTGTATTGTGTGCATTCATAACGCTCATGGCTGTTTCTTTTCTCTCCCTCCCTCCCTCTCTCTCTCCTCCCCATGCTGCTGCTGGCACACTCTGGGCGCATTCACCTCTCAGGCCTCTCTCAGCCAAAACTGGATTTTTGCAGTTGCGTCTTTTCGTTTGTGTGGTTTTTTTCTTTCTCCTCTTCACATGTCTCAGCCTGTCATTTTCACTGTCAGTCACACATTACTTGGCCCACTTGTACCATCCTCGACTGAGGGGCCCCAAACCTCATCCAGCCAAAGGCTCCACCTCTACTGAACAAAACAGCTGTCTGCAGAGACGACTGGTCCTAGCACGCAGTGCTCCAGCCGAATGTGAGCATTTGCTTCTGATCCAAATGGAGCATTGCCTGCTAGGAAGCATAATGCCCACAGGCTGCAATACTATGTTATGGGTGTGGGCATCTGTGAACCCATTTGGCCCACCCGTACTGTAAGTAAACAGATGCTTGTTCTAGTCATCATCAGTCACCTGTCCATAATAGAGAATGCAGGGTCGGTTCTCGCCCTTGGCACTAGGAGCTTTTGGGGTTAATATTATTTATGCAGTTACCAAAAAGTCAATCCATGTTTCGGAAATGCCCTGTTCCTGCATGCGTCACTGCCTGTCGCACTGGGCCCTGCTACCACTACTGGTCCACAAGTGGGCCCTGTTAGTCCCAGGCTGAGAGCAGATTCCGGGGCTTCTGTGGCCCTGAGGACTTGGGACACGTACAGGAGCTGGATCAGGAGCTCTGAGCTGTTGCCCCCCCACTGCTATTAGCCTTCATGTCTGTTTCCTCTGAGCAGGAACCCATGGGGAGTCTAGTGAGGAAATGTTCCCCTTTGGGAACAGAATTAACCGAGATGAAACTGCACAGACAGGTCCTTTCACAGCAGGGCAAGCCCCAGAGTCTTCCCTGAGCTCTTATGCAAAAGCAGAGCCTTCTTGATGCTGAGTCAACTTCTGCTGTACCTATCATTGACTCGCATGCTTCTCTGAGCAACAGCTTCCTGTTGCCCTGGTGGAGAGGATTGGATGTCACAAACACAGTGATCTATGCTGCTGGTGAAAGGTGTTGGATTGGCAGGGACTGAATCCTTTGTATATCTCTAGAGAAGCACCAGTGCAAGCTTCTTCCGCAGTCCCAGTGCAGTCCACTTGTGACTCTAATGCTGAGAGGGAGTTCAGTCTCTGCATGCTACCACTGCAGGAAGGGTAGGAAGAGCAACTGGGCTGCAAAGGATCAAACTCACCTCACTTCAGTAACTAACAAACATGGCAAGAATTCTGAGCAGCCCAGCATAAGGTGGCTGGCTTTATGTGCTATCAGAGACCCTCCCTCTGTGCAAAGCTGGGGCTGTTACCTGTCTGTCTGGAAGGTTTTATTTCCAAGCTGAATGTGTTTGTGTGTTATGCAGGGGGTTAGGTGGGGTAAGAGGCCAAGCCAGCCTGTTCTGGTGGAATTTACATCTTGTGTTCCTGTGCCCCAGATAAAAAAGGCAGAGATGGACCGGAAGACCCTGGACTGGGAGATTGTGGAGCTCACTAACAAGCTGCTAGATGCCAAAACTACCATCAATAAACTTGAGGAGCTCAATGTAAGTGTCCAGTCCACAGCTTGTCTGCTCAACGTGGGGAAATGTGTGGTAGTTTCATGGCTGATTAATATAAGGTCTGGTCTATAACTTCCTTACTAATGAATGGGGAGGGGCAAGCAGAACATGGCTGACATTCATCATGGCTAAGGCTAAGTTTTTGTCACGGATATTTTTAGTAAAAGTCATGGACGGGTCATGGGAAATAAACAAAAATTCACGGCAACCTGTGACCTGTCCCGACTTTCACTAAAAATATCCCTGACAAAAGAGGTAGGTGGGTTCAATACCCAACTGCTTCTGGGGCTCTCAGGTCCCCCACTACTGCGGTGCGTGAGAGCTCTGCGGTCTCCCTGCCCCAGGGGCTGGTAGCTGTAGGGTCCTGCAGCTGCTGGCTGCAGCTGTGGCTGTGTAGCTGTGGGGAGTCCCAACTGCCTGCCGTGTCTGGGCAGCTGCTGGGGGGTTGCCCGCAGAGGTCCCGCCAAGATTGGGCAGCTGCACCCACCCGCCAGGGCTGGGAGCTCCAACCCCTGGACAGAAAATGTCATGGAGGTCAATGGCAATCACAGATTCTGTGACCTCCGTGACATAATTGTAGTCTTAACCATGGCTGAAATTGTGGGGAGCTGAGGACGCCAGTGAGGACAGATAAATAATAGAGAGGGGAAGCAGGAAATGGCAGCATGACTTGTGATTTGAGTCCTACAAGTTGAGCAGAGAGCAAATGAGATCTGGGCTTGCTGTGTGAAGTGGCAGCAAAAAAGGCCCACCTGAGTGTGGGCTGCAAAACTAAAGGCTGAGCAGCCCAGAGCCGGGAGAGGGATGGTCCCTCCATGCAGCTTTGGTGCCACAGTGCCTGAGGTCTTGCACTTGATTCTGGGCACCTTGTTAACACTGGCAGGAGTTCAGAGAAGGGCTGTGAGGGCCTGTTTAGGCACTGAACTCTCCAGTTTGGCTGACAGCACCCTGTGGTGGGGGACGGTACGGACCCTCAGATATTTGAGGGGTGTCAGGCCCAAGAGGGGGAGAAGCTTGTTACAGACTCAGTGTAAACTTGGAGGGAGGGGCTGGAATGGAGAGGAGCTTCTCAGCCGAGTGGCAGAGAGGTACTGGCCTGCGAAGGAGCCTCCCCAGGAGAATGGTGGGAGCCCCCTGGTGTGGGATGGCTGACCTCCCCTCCCCCATGTGAGTGAGGTGTCTGCTCGGGCAGCAGGGGCCTACATGCGTTGCTGGCAGTGTGTGTAGGGACCAGATGAGGCCAGCATGACTCCCATCCCCGTGTGCTCTCTTGGCAGGAGCGATATCGGCAGGACTGTAACCTCGCAGTGCAGCTGCTCAAGTGCAACAAGTCCCACTTCAGGAACCACAAGTTTGCTGACGTGAGTAGCAGCTCTGGTGCAGGGTGTGGGAGAGGCTCACAGCTGCTCTGTTCCCTGCCCATAACTCCACACCTGGTCACTCTCCTCTGCAGGTAGGGGGAGCTGCCGTATGTTCCACCGACCCCCGCTCCCCTGAGTATAAGTCAAAGGTGTAAGGAGCTCCCGGCCCTCTGTGCAAGGTCTCTGCTGGCTCCTCTTTCAGGCTGGCTCCATTTCACGTCTCAGTCGGGGGCTGTTATAAAAAGAGCCTTGAGCTGCCTTTCCAAGGGAGCGAGTGTCGTCTACAGCACAATAGCCTTGAATCCGATAGCCTGTCGGGTGCCTGAAGGCAGCTGGCAGAGGAGCAGGCCTCTCACTGACCCTTTTGTCTTCTCCCCCTTCGCACCTGGCCACGTGCAAGGCTCATCCTGCCTACTGAGGGGCCAGGTGAACCTGAATGCAGCTGGTCTGGCTCACGGATGCGGCTACTTGTGCCAGATTCGGGTATGCTTACCACTCCTGGGAGCTCACAGATCTGCCGACAGGCAGGGCACCAGGGAGGGCAAGGCTTTGAGTGCAGCACTAGGCTGGGAATGTCCCATCCCTGTGCATGAGGGAGGAGCCCATGTTTGTATTGGTATTTCTTTTTCCCCCTGGAACGGGATCTGGCCCCAGCCTCAGGATTCTCATCACCTCTCCATAAAGCTTCGTCACGTGGGCTCCCTTAGAGGGCTCTCCCAGCGCCCTGCACATCCAATCCTGGTGCTTGTCTTTTGTGAGTGAGCACATGACTGGTATGTTGTCCCCCAAGCATGTCTCAAATTAGCGCTCCTGAGGTCACCATATCAGTTACTGCTGGGATAATCTTCACCTCTCCCAGCTGTCTCCCCTCACAGGAGCTTTGAATTCTGCCCCCAGAGGGCTCGACCACACTCGGATGCCACTGAGGCAAAATGCAGCTGTGCAAGGACCTTCTACCTTGCACTCACCATTCCCAGTCTGTGTGCCCTGGGCCCACTTGTCTGACTGCAGGATCCCTCTTGCAGCAGCCTGTGCCATGGCTTGGAGCCCTGGGGGTTTCAAGAGGGGGGGTCCACAAAGCCCAACCCTAATCTTTCACCATGGTGCTTGTGTGGCCAAAGAGCAGCATGGTATTTAACAGGCAGGGTGGAATCGACCTGCTTGCCTGGCTGGCTGTGGCAGGTCTGTGCTCACCCTAGTCCTGCAGCCAGTTTACCCGGGACTCAAGGAGGCTGCCTCCAGGGTGCAGCGAAACATTTGGCATGCCCTGAATGTTACTATTCTCGTTGTTGAAAGCTCTGAACCAAAAGCTAAACCCTCAGTGAGGTGTGGGGGTCACCAAGGCTCTGCCACAGCTGCTAAAGCCTCAGTGAGGCAGCTGGACCAGGCCGGGGAACCAGCAAGTGCTAGGACAGTCATCGATACTGATCCTAGGGCAGGCTGCCAAGGCAGTGGGGCTGTAATTACTGTGCGCTTCCTGGGAGCTGTAGATCCTGCCAGTGGGGGCTGTTCAGTCACTTCTACGCAATCACCAACTGATTTTCCACTGATCAATAGCCCCTTTGCCTAGCACCCACCATTTAGGCCTCATCTCCACTCTCATAAGCTATGGGCCTGAGGCCCGTGAGCAGGCTTCCCTTGCTCCCTCTCCCGAATGGGGCCCCTTGGTCAGGCTTGGGGCAGGCTCCTGTGTGCTTTGAGAGCAGTAGCATCCTGCAGCCAGAAGTTAGAGCTGGGAAAGCTCTGCTAACTCCTCCTGTGGGGCAAACCTGTTTTGAGGGTGGGGAGGGCAGCATGTATGTCAGTGGCTGGGCCCTGCCCAGGTGGTGGGGAGCAGGTGAGTATGTTAGGGGTAGGCAAGTGTGGGGTGTTAGCTAGGGCTGGGTGGAGCAGGCAGTGTATTGCAGTCTCCCAAGTGCTGCTTGTGGCTCTGTCCCAGCCTCTCCTGGCTCTGCTGAGGCCCTGAGGGGTTGTTTCAGGCTTAATGCCCTCTCTCTTTCTCCTTAGCTTCCCTATGAGCTGCAGGACATGGTCAATAAGCACCTGCACAGCACCCAAGAGTCCCCAGGCCCTGGGCAGGAGGCTGCACATACCCTGGCCCCATCTGACATCGTGCCCACCTCAGTGATTGCCAGAGTCCTGGAGAAGCCCGAGTCACTGGTCCTGAACTCTGCCAAGTCCAGCAGTGGCAGCTGTCCCATAGCTGAGGATGTCTTTGTGCACGTGGACATGAGTGGAGCTCTGCTGGACGCCTGCCCCAGCCCAGGGCTGCCTGGGAAGGAGAGAGGGGAAGGGGGGAAGCAGCAGAATGGGGGCTGCAAGCCACAGAGCAGTGTAGAGAGCCTGCCAGAGGAGGTGCCTGCCTTCGAGAAGCTGAGCCCCTATCCCACGCCCTCCCCTCCCCACCCCATGTACCCAGGGCGTAAGGTGATTGAGTTCTCTGAGGACAAAGTGAGGATCCCAAAGAACAGCCCCCTGCCCAACTGCACCTATGCCACACGGCAGGCCATCTCCCTAAGCCTGGTGCAGGGCGAGGACGAGAGCAGTGACCGGCACCGGACGCTCCCTAACAGCCCTGTCTCAGAGGGCCGCCACTCAGCCTCCAGCTGCTCCTACCAGCCGTCTCCCAAGGCGGCTCGAGCACACGGCTCCTCGCAGAGCAGCCCTTTCAGCAGCCCACCCCAGATCCCCAGCGCCTTTGCCAGCTCCGCCAGCTCGGAGGAGGACCTCCTGGCCAACTGGCAGCGGATGTTTGTGGACAAGGCGCCGCCCACTTCGGAGCAGGTGCTGGTGAGCCGCACCTCCTTCAGCTGTGACATGGCCCCGGAGCTCCAGAAGCGGTTCAGCCGCTCCATGCAGGAGCTGGGCAGGGCGGCCTCGGCCTACTCGGATGGTGAGGAATCTGCACAGAGCTGCAGCTGGACCGTGAGCCGGGACTCAAGCGTAGACACAGACAGCACTGAGTCCCGAGCCCGCAGGAGCCATTTCTCCTCCGATTACGGCATGGACTTCTCCCAGGATGAAGCCCGGAAGCTGCTCCAGGGCAGTGGCGGGGGCACCACTGAGCCCAGCAGCCCCCCGCCAGAGAAGCACAAGGACTATGTGGACCTGGGCTCACCTGGGAGCCCAGCTGAGGAAAGGGAAATGCTGCTGAAACCAAGCAAGGAGAGCAGCCCGGGGGGAGCCCTGGAGGAGAGCGGGGAATGCAGGAGCAAGCCTCCCTCAGGACGGCCACACCGCAGCCCTAAGAGGATGGGTGTCCACCATCTCCATCGCAAGGACAGCCTGACACAGGCCCAGGAGCAGGGCAACCTGCTCAACTGAGGCTGGGCAGGGAGCAGCGCCACAGGGCAGCGCCACACATGCCCCAGGGGGCTTCAGGCTCCACTCCCACCTTATATTTATTCTGGTTTTGATACCCGGAAGCGCCAGGATCTTGCTGGCGTTCCGCACCCACCACACCAGAACACAGACTTGGGGCCTTGCTCGCCCTGGCATGCATGCCCATGCCTGTGCTAACCACTCATCTGGTGCCTGCCCTCACACTCAATCTTACAGCCCCACCCTGGTGCCCATGCCCTTACTCACCCTGAGGCCTGTGCCTGCCCTCACATTCATGCTCACAACCTTGCCCTGGTGCCCATGCCCTCATTTTCACGCTGATGCCCATGGCCCTGGGCGCACTTGTGCTGGTGCCAACAAATAGAAACTCTTTGCTCTGGTCTTGTCTGATCCCCATGAGCCCCTGCAGGCTGAGTGGGACATGAGGACTGCCCTGCGGGGTGGGTGCTCCTTGATGGCTGGCCCCCTGCTGTGGGTCAGAAGCATTGAGTTGGGGACTGTTGTTTTGCTATTTTTTGTTTCCCCCCTGCTGATCTCTGTGGAAACCAGCCAGCAGTCATGGTGGCTCTCCCTTAAAGCTTCCTCTGCAGATCCCTGCTGCTTAGCTCATGGGCCTGGCCCAACATGTGGCTCATGCAGAGGCAATGCCCTGGGAGAGCCCCAGTTCCCTCTGCCATGGGGCTGGGCCATAGCTGCCCCCAGCAGTTGCTCAGCGAGGCTGGCCTGCAGCGTTCCCATGACAGTGGTTTCTATGCTGTGGGTTGGATTGTGTGTTTGTCTCTCCATCTCTGGGTGCTGTTGCACTGGCCTGGCTTGTGTTTGGCTAGTGCTGATTCTCCACACCTGGGTCTTCTTCTCATTTTAATCCTTTCCAGGCCTCTGCTTTTAAAATGTTTTGTTTTTCTCTTCCTGCATAAATGAGCAAAGCAGCTGACAGCCAATCCATTGTCTGCCCAGAGGTTTGGTGTGAGGTCCTGCCCTTGGAGCCACCAGCTCCCGCTTCCCATCCAGGTCTTTTTACTCCAGCAGAGCCATATGGACTCCAGGGCAGGATTTTACCCCAGGAGAGCAATAAATGAAAGACCATAGCAAGCTGCCTCTGGGCAGGGCCCCAGCAAGGGCTCTGGGGAGAGAGGGAGACCTGTTTGGGAGCAGGGCTTATCGCTGCCATATGCAGACACGGTACCTCATGGCTCAGCAGTGGCCCTTTGGGAAGGCCCCTGTGCATGTGCATCCCTTCCTCTGGCTGGGTCCCGGGCTGGCTCCGGTGCCCTTCCAAGGCCTCCCCACTGGGGGGGCTGGAGTTGTGTGTGTGATTTTCCTTGTGTTCAGTGTTGGTACGATTTTCCTTTTCAGTGTTTGTGCTCCACGTCCCAGGGGTGGGGAAGGGGAGAGGTTGGGAGTGTAGATATTTTATTTGTGAGAGAGAGCGCCAGGGTCTAGTTACTAGCTTCCTAACCTGCCCTTGCCTATCTGGATTTTTACCTCTCCACCCTGAAGGTGTAACCCAGCACACTGGCATGGTCCCTGTGCTGCTCCCTTGGGCCTGGGGACCCCCTTCCCTTGGCTGTGGTGGGTTTGAAGCTGGAGCTGTAGCATCCTCCTTCAGTGAGAGCGAGCTGCTGCTCTGTGCTTCGCTATGTATGGAGGGTGCAGCCTCTCTCTGCAGGAAGGAAGCTCCCATTCAAACACCCAGCAAGAGATGCTGCCCTGGGGCAATGTCCCTCCCTAAGCCCCTGCGTTTGTAGCTGGTGGCAGCCAGGGCCAAAGCTTTGCTCTCAGCTCCAGCCTGGAGGCTGCAGGGCCTGTAAAAGGGAGCTGTTCCCTCTCCTTGTATTTTGGCCCAGCCCGTGGCTGCTTTCTGTGTGGGTAGGTTTGGGCACTCTGGTCACAGCAGCTGCCTGTGCACTTGCCTTGTTCTTGGCCACTCAGCTCAGTGTGGAGCTGGGCTGGGACTCAGTATTTCAGCAGCTGCCCTAGCAAATTGGTGCTAATGGTGGGAGCCTCTCCTCAACCTGCAAGGTACTAATCCTCTGTGTGGGGGAGGGCCCTGCCCAGCGCAGCCCAGCTCCTCTCTCTCCTGTAGCCTCCTTGCAGTGCTGAGGTCCAAGCTGCTGCTTCCTCCCACCCCATTTTCATGCCCCGGCCACAGGGCCTCTCCTGTTGATTGGGCTCGTAGGCCCAGACTCTACCTGGTCAGCACAGCTTGACTCCAAGCCTCCTGGGCTGCGTGGTGGCCTCACTTGTGTCATGACCTAGCTTTGAGCTGCAAGTGCATGCTGGGAGCAATGGCGGCTGGCTGGGGCTGGCCTGGGCTGTCTAGTCCTTGAGCTGGTTAGTGTAGGTGGGTCCGATCACCTCCACTTCTCCACGAGAGGTGCTTCCCCTCCTGCCTCAACCCAAAGGTCCCTGGTTGCCCTGCAATTGGCTGTCCTGAGCAGTTCAGACCAAGATGAAAACCACCTGATTGTAGAAGCAGTTGGTGTGCTGGTCCCTGTAAGGCAAAAGCTAATTTCCCTTTTGCCTTTGATCACATCAGGCTAGAAGCAAAGGAATGCCCATAGACCCAGTCCAGGCCATGGTCCTGAGGTGTCATTTCCTTTGGAGTGTGACCAGGCAGCAGCAGAGCCCACGAGAGAAATGGTGAGGGGAATGTTGTGCAGCCAAAAGAGAAGGAGCAACCTGCTCCGAGGCTGCATCCATGGGGCATCAGGCCTTTGCCCTCCTTCTTGTGTCTGGCAGTACTGGCTCTGGGGGGGGGGCACTTTTCAGTGTCCCAAGTCCAGCCTGTTCATCTGCAACTAACGTGTTTTTTCTGAGATTTTCAAACTGATGTATATTTTAAAACCAGAAATAAACTATTTTAAAAATAAGCTGTGGCTGTGGGGTGCTGGGTGGAAGCCGAGAGTAGGTACATCCTGGTGGCCGGGGGCCCTCTTACGGCAAGCTGCTGTCCCAGAGGTGTGCAGGGTCCTGTATGCCACTTCCTGGCTTGTCAGGGATAAATTGAACATATGACCTGTCTTTTCAGATGACGTCCTGGTTCTTCCTTTCACCATTCAGTACACGTCTGTGCTTTAACTACACAATGTTTGTTCAAAATGTCTCGTTGCCCAGAGCATCTACTTGGTGCTCACCAGGACTAGACCAACAGGGCTGGGGAAGGAGAGTTTAGAGTGGTGAAGAGTGTTGGACTGAAGAGAAGTCAGCTGAGCATAGACGCCATGGGAGCTGCTCCGTTGCTCACAGTGAATGTTGTCAGGTGTTCAGGCTCATTCGGCCTATTAAGTTTGTGGAAGAATGCTCACTCCCAGCAATGTTCGCATGTCATTGACTTGGAAACTGGCAGTACCAACAGGAGCACGCTTTTTATAAAGTGTACTTTTGCCTTTTGCATGACTATTTTGTGAACCTAAACTAGCTGCCTAGTGTTGTGGTTTCATATTTTGAAAATGTAGATGCTCCTGCCTCAAAGGCCAGCATCATTCAACCAAAACCTTCCTCGCAGTGAGTCCCCGAGACTCAAGAGAGAGGCGTAGGGCTCATGGGAGAAAGGGGCACTGAACACCTCTGGACCTTGTTGGGGCTGGTTGTCCCTGTGCTGTAATTCCGGCGCTCAGTCTGGCACCTTTTCTAACTAGCCCACATGCGCCAAACTCTGTTGCTAACTCTGCTGCCTGGTGGTTTTTCTTAAAGCTCCAGCTCCTGGAGCCATGTGATTAGGTGAGACTGGCAGCTTTCATTTAAGAGAGATGTCTTTCTAACCCTTGAGGTTGTGGAGAAAATCTGGCAAATATGACCCACGGGCACCTACAGGCTCAGAAAGTAAACGGCAAAGAGAAAGAACCCACTGTTTAACTCTTTTTATTCTTGATTTTTATGGCAGTCCCATAACTTTGGAGGGGCCTGACGTGTGATTTTTGAATATTAGGTGCTGGTGATGCTGTGAACCCCACTGGAAAAGGCTGTTCAAGTCTGAGGGATAAAGGGGCTGCTGAGCTCACACAGTGAAGTTCACTCTGCACCTTAGGAGCTCCCTGGCCAAGACCTGAGGGCCAAGCGGAGGAAGACTTGTGTTTGCCTGCCTCTCCCTGTGGTAGCTTGAGCTGATCCAGTGCTGCCTCCCTGCTGGGCTCTCCTCCTTCTTAGTTGTGGTTCCTGCTCCCTTTGTCCCTATAATTATTTATTTTGTGTGCTCCTGGGAGCAGCTGCTCCTGCTGCCCTTTAATCCTCCAGCCTAATTCTAGCCCTGAAACACAATCTTCCCCCCTGCCTGGCTCCAGCAAGGTGCAAGGGGCACTTGGCCCACAGTGTGTATCCTGCTGGGCAGGCACTGGCTGGAGCCTTCTCCACAGGGTGCATGCTCCGTGCCAAGTCCCCCACAGCCCTGCCTCGCCAGCAGGGTTCTAACAAGGGACCCAGCCCCTTCCCTCACAGCCTGGGGGATGTGTGACACAGAGCTGGGGTTTAGTCTTCGGGTGATGGAGCTGGCTTATCAAGGCATTTCCCCTGGGCTGAGCCTGGAAGTGGATGATTTACGGCTGCCAGTCCTGCTACGTGGGGGAAATTGAGGGAGACTTACTATGGGTTTAGTACTGAGGGGGGAGGAACAGAAGCATGTGGGCCCTGTCTAACATGAGAGAGAGTGAAGCCCATCTCTTGCACCTTCCACAGGAGGAGCTTGGAGTTTTGCAGATATTATGGAATTTAAGTCTGTGGTCATTTAAGGGACCCCACTCTAGGCTCCCAGCTTCTCAGCCATCACCTCTCTCAGGTGGAGACCTGTCTCTTGCCTTCCTGACAGGTTATCCCAGGCTATACAGTTCCCTGCCTGCACTGTGATATTCCCAGCAAGCCAGGCTGCCTACAAGGCCAGTGTCTGCAGTTTGCTTTCTCTCTAGAGGCTATGAACAGTGTAATAGCCAGCAGTTGTGCATTACCAAACAGCTCTTGGTAAGGAAGCACATTCTTAAGGTGAAAGCATTACAGAGAAAACATTAAAAAAATAAAAACTTACACACATGCTAAAAAGCTTATGAGCTGACTCTCTGGTAGGTGTCAACCCTTCCACAAGGATTGGAGGCCCCTCTTGGACCAAAGGGCCTGTCCCTTTGCTGGATCAGGAAGAAGATCCTGAGTCAGTGTAAATTCAGGCTATTTATCCAAAAGTCCTTTCTTTGTCCGGTATGTGGAGACTCCAGTTTGAATTAGTATTTGTGAGCCTCTGCAGGAGGTGATACCTCTCTCGTTTGGGGGGGGAAGGGTTTACAACCTGCCTGATTTGCCTTAATCCCCACAACTGTTAGTTCCTGGAGGAGCTGTGGCAGCCTTCCCCCATGGAGGAGAACACAAATCGTACACAAGGCAGTCATTTAAAACAATGGATCCCTGAGGATACTGCATGGGGATTCAATGTCTGACATCTCTCCCATAGAGAGGTTACATGAAATCCTGTTCCACAATAATACACAAACTGTATCCAACAAAGTCTTTAGAGGATAGTACAGGAAATTGCCCTAAGGCCCACAACTGCCTTTACAGATGGGGAAACTGAGGCAAGGGACTGTCCAAGGTCACAGAGTTGGTGCTAGGATCCTGGAGCCCTGTGTCCCAGTTCTGTGTTTTAACAATAATCCCATCCTCTGTCATAGAGTCTGGCTAGAACCTAGGCATCTGACCTTCCAGTTACTTATGTGCTCCTGCTGCTGGCAAGTTCAGCTTGTTTGGCTGCAGTGGGGACTGGGTGCACATTGCATTCACCATTTCATGCAATGTTCTTTGCCTGGGCAATGAGGGAAATATTCTAAGCTGCTGCCTGGGCTCTTAGCAGCTTCCCTCCCTCTCCCCGAGTGACTGCAGAGGAGTGCATGCTGATCTGCAATCACTAGGCACATCCTTGTCACATGGCAGCAGCTGGGGGCTCTGGAGGGAAATGGGCACATCACAGCCCCGCTTCAGTAGTGAGGAGTCAAGCACAGTCAGCAACTGTGAGAAGCTGCCAGCGCTGCTTCCCTAGCACCACTGGCTTCTTCATGGAGCCTGGCTCCAGCTGCTTGCCTCTGGTTATAATCCCTATCCCCTCCTTGTAGAAAGCCCTGTTTTCCCCCAGCTCCGTCCTGAGAAAGGTAGTTGCTGATGCTCACACCCTTCCTGTTTCTCCAGGGCTGGTCCCTGCTGCCCTGAGCCTCCTGTTGGCAGCTGTGTGTGGGTTTTTGCTGGGACCCCATTATCCTACTTATCTGAGGTATTTCTGTGCTCCCCATTACCATAGTATTCTGAGGACCTCACAGTCCTTACTATATTGATCCTCCCACACTGCTGTGAGATAGGGCACTGATCTTAGCCCCATGTCACACATGGGGAACTGAGGCACAGAAAGGCTAGGTTCAAAGGTACTGAAGATGCCACGAGTGGCATTTTCCAAAGCAGGTAACTCTCAGTGACCACAACTAGGCACTGCTCTGCAGCTTTTAGACCCCCAAATACCTTTACAAACCCAGCCCTAAGTGACTGTCCAAGGTCACGTAGGAAGGTGCTTGGATTCCCCCAATACCCAGGTTAATACTCAGGTTAACACCCAACCCACTGGCCCAGTCTGTCCTGGACAATTCACTGTGAACTCTTCCTCATTTCAGCTGAACAGTAGGGGGGGAGAGATGGGGGTGGGGGAAGGAGGGGCTGCAGAATGGGGCATGAGTAGAGACCAGGGCACTGGTGGGCCCCAGTTGCTTCGCTGTGCCGCAAACAGGAGAACTGCAACCTCTCAGGAAGGGCGAGAGCATCACTGTTTCCTGTCCAAGGCAGTGAAATGGCTGGGGTGTGACAAGCGGGACAAATGTGGCCATGTAGAAGAGCCAGACTGCTGTGGTCCGGCTAGCATGTTGCGGGAGCCTAGGAAGGCGGCCCTGACCCAGGGACTGGATCAGTCTGGGTGTGTATGAAAATGCAACCGCATGGCAGTGAAGAGAGAGCAGAGCTGGGAGAACGCTAATGAGCTGACACTGCCGTAGTGTGGCCTTTCTTATCAAGTGCGCCATGGGGCTCTCCCCAGCACCGCCTTGCCCAGCCTGGGCCTGACAGGATCCCACCAGATAGAAATGGGTCCCTGTGTCCCACAACTCACCTGGCTGCTTGTCCCTCCTCCTCCATCCATCCCTCCCCCAAAGCCTTCCTCCAGTGCTGCAGGGCCAGAGCTGGGTGCCCCCGCAGCAGGCAGACATCACCACCACAGGACCAGCAGGCTGGGAGCTGAGCGGGCAGCCAGCCAAGCCCAGGCAGGCACTTCAGAGCGCTGCTGCCTCCTGGTGGCTCTCCTGGCTTTTGTTGTGTGCTCTCTCCGCAGTGCTGGAGAGGGTGAACTCGCCCTGCCGCAGCCAGTTGCAGTTTATTGTTCTACCGGGGTTTGAAGCCAGCTCCAATCTGAGCCTTTCCAGCTAACCACTCCGCCTGGTTCTCTAGTGGCGGTGCAGGAGGTTGAGCTCAGATGTGAAGGGGCTCTGCCCTGCTGGGTTTTATTATTATGGAATAACACCTCTTAAACTGCTACCGTGCCCCAGCCATCCCAAAGCACTTTACAAATTCACTGACGCAAAGCCTGGGCTAACAGCACGCAGGAACACACCATGGGAGGGCAGGACAAGCCGTCACCCAGGGCCGATTCAGGAAGGCAGGTTGGACTCGCAAAAGCTGGAATTTGACCTCCCTCCCCACTCTTACATAAACTGCCCCAAGGAGCAGACCCTTGGCTTTAAGGCTCACCTGAGATACAGTGGCTTCAACAGCACATCGTCCCTTGGCACTGACCTGGAGCATTGGTGTGGTTGTGGCCCAAGGAGCACCTCTGCCTGAATCCCCTTGTCACACCCTGTAACTG